CTGTTCCCCTCCACCACCCTCACCTGTTCCCCTTGCCCTCTCTAGCCCATTTCCCTCCTTCTTCCTCCTCCCCCAGGGTGGCTGAGAGCGCTTCCCAGCCACGTTCCCAGGCCCCCTTCTTCCCCCTAGGGTTGCCAAGAACAAGCTTCAGGTACAAGGAAGAAAAGTCCCAAGTTTCACAGAACCCCCAAGTTTCACAAAACCCCCCAAGTTCTCAGTAGATGAACAATGGTGGAAAACTCACCAAGACTTGATTAATTACTGTTGTATAACCATAACCATTGTGATATGAGATGCATCCATTGTCAACTGAAGCTGTATTAATTACTGTTCCACTGCTGTATCCGTGACTACCCAAGTGGTAACCCCCCTTAACCAGCCATGTTTTGCTTCTGTGATATGCTTGCCCAAAGCCTATAAAAGGCAACTCACCCTCACACCTGGGCTGCTGACTGTCTCTTGGAACAGCAGCCCCTGCGGCAGGTAAAATAAATTACCAATTAATTAACCTAAGTGGGGGTCTGACTCTATTTTTCCAGGTCTCCTAAGTTATTTCATAGCAAACACATATGAATAAACCTAGTGAAATAACTCTGTACTAAAAACTACAAAACAGGCTCAGTGCCCGTAGCACTGTGGTTAGGGCGTCAGTCACAAGCACCAAGGATGGCAGGTTCAAACCTAGCCGGGACCAGCTAAACAACAATCACAACAACACTGACGCCACACTGCAACAACACTGACGCAACAATCACTGCAACAAGAAAATAGCCTGGCGTTGTGGAGCCAGCTGGGCCTGTAGTCCCAGCTACTTGGGAGGCTGAGGCAAGAAAATCACTTGAGCCCAAGAGTTTGAGGTTGCTGTGAGCTATGATGCCAAGGCACTCAACCCCAGGGCAACTGAATGAGACTGACTCCAAAAAAACCAAATAAATAAAACAAATAAAATAAAATAAAAAGGGCTGTGGTTCAGTGAGTAGGGTGCTGGCCCCATATACTGAGGATGGCGGGTTCAAACCCAGCCCTGTCCAAACTGCAACAAAAAAATAGCCAGGCGTTGTGGTAGGCGCCTGTAGTCCCAGCTACTCAGGAGGCTGAGGCAAGACAATTGGCTAAGTGCAGGAGTTGGAGGTTGCTGTGAGCTGTGACATCATGGCACTCTATCAAAGGTGATAAAGTGAGATTCTGTCTCTACAAAATAAATAAATAAAATGAAATAAAAATAGCCAGGCATTGCGGCAGGTGCCTATCATCCCAGTTTCTTGGGAGGCTAAGGCCAGAGAATTGCTTGAGCCCAAAAGTTTAAGGTTGCTATGAGCTGTGACACCACAGAACTCTACCCAGGGTGACAAAGTGAGACTTTGTGTCCAAGAAAAAAGAAAGAAATGTTAATCTTTCCAAATTAATCTATAAACTCAACATCTCACAAGCAAAATCCCAGCAGTGTGTTCTAATGAAAATTTACAAGCCAATTCAAAATTTTTTATGAAAACGTAAAGAACCTAGCTGGGTGTTGTGGCAGGCGCCTATAGTCCCAGCTACTTGAAAGGCTGAGGCAGGAGAATCGCTTAAGCCCAAGAGTTGGAGGTTGATATAAGCTTTGACACCACTGAGGGCGACATAGTGAGACTGTCTCAAAAAAAAAAAAAAAAAAAGTAAAGAACCAAGAAAAAGCTCAAGTCAATAATGAAGAATAAAGCTGAAGGACTTCATGACTGGTTAACAAGACCTGCCACAGGCTATCTAAAATAGTTCAGATACAGAGACAAAAAAAAGTCAAAGGGCTCAGCTCCCATAGCTGAGTTGTTAAGGTGCCAGCCACATACACAGAGGCTGGCGGGTTCAAACCTGGCCCAGGCCTGCTAAACAACCATGACAACTGCAACAACAACAACAAAAATATAGCTGGGCATTGTGGAGGGTGCCTGTAGTCCCAGCTACTTGGGAGGCTGAGGCAAGAGAACTGCAGTAAGCCCAGGAGTTGGAGGTTGCTAGGCGGCACCTGTGGCTCAGTGAGTAGGGCGCTGGCCCCATATACCGAGGATGGCAGATTCAAACCTAGCCCCGGCCAAACTGCAACAAAAAAAGTAGCCAGGCATTGTGGCGGGCGCCTGTAGTCCCAGCTATGAGGGAGGCTGAGGCAAGAGAATCACCTAAGCCCAAGAGCTGGAGGTTGCTATCAGCTGTGATGCCACAGCACTCTACCCAGGGTGACAAAGTGAGACTCTGTCTCTAAAAAAAAAATTTTAAATGTTAGCTAGGTGCAGAGGCCCATGCCTGTAACTACCCAGGATTTTATGAGCCCAGTGGTTTGAGGGTGCAGTTCGCTATTATGGTGCCACTATACTCCAGTCTAGGCGACAGAGCAAGACCTTGTCTCTAAGAACAAAACAAAGTATGCTGATATTAAAGGGAACCCTGAAAATATCTCACTAAGAGACAAAGGCTTCATCTATAGCAGTGGCCAAGAAAATGGAGACACAGGAGAACTCATCTCTTGAACAAGAGAATCTAGATGGTGAGAGAGAAAGGAATCAAAGATGACCAGATGTTCTATTTGGGATGACCATGCCATAAGCCATTAACCAAACACGTAATGCAAGAGAAAAAAAACGTTTGAGGAAGAAGAGAACAAATGTTTATGCCCATTAGAGATAGAGCGTTAGGTCAAAGATGTTAGTTACCAATATCATAATTCAGCAGCTTACAAGGGCGATCTCCCTGATAGAGATATTGCTAGTAAGTCTTGCTGCTGTTTTTCTTTTTTTCCAGACATTATTATACATTGTTGCTGCAGGTTAGAGTGCCCTGGTGTCAGCCTAGCTTGACGCAACCTCAAACTCCTAGATTCAAGAACCCTCCTGCTTGGGAGGCACCTGTAGCTCAGTGGGAAGGGCCGCCAGCCACATACACCAAGGCTAACAGGTTCAAATCCAGCCCAGGCCTGCTAAACAACAATGACAACAACAACAAAACCAGCTGGGCATTGTGGCGGGTGTCTATAGTCCCAGCTACTTGGGAGACTGAGGCAAGAGAATCACTTAAGCCCAAGAGTTTGAGGTTACTGTGAGCTGTGACTCCATGGCATTCTACCAGGGCAACATAGTGAGACTCTGTCTCAAAGAAAAACCAATTAATAAATTCTAAATCAATTGATACTTTTATTACCTTAGATTCACAAAATGTAACAATAAGGACTAATGTTTGTATGTTAGTTTGGAAGTTCCAAAATCATTTTTATTTAATCCTAATAATGTTGCAAGATATGTAGCATAGGTAGAAATCATTAGCCATAAGTTGAGTTGAAAGCTGTATTATTATTAGGCCTCCCACGCACCACACAAAGTTTCAAGATTAAAAATGCAGATGGTTTTACTCTTTCAAAAGGAAAGAAATTTAATTCTTTTGGTTTGAGGGGCTTCGAGGGAATTAATATATTCGTTCCACTCTTAATGTTTAAATCTGTTAACTTCCAAGAAAGACATGCTACTAGCCAAAATGAGGTATAGTGGAAATCTTGGCAAAACCACATTTCATATAATTTCTGTTTCCATCAACTCCTATAATGGAAAAACTCTATGTTCTAGTTTTCTGGGACAAATTCTAAAAATATGTTAAGGCATCACCACACAAATGATGGATTCAGGTAGGTCCACAAATTCTTAATGATAACTTCAAGTAACATTTTACCCAAGTAAAGGACATGATACTGAAGTAACTCATCTCCACACAGATCACTGTACCAAGTGTCACAGGTGTCTCCCAGCCCTTTGGCTATTTGCTTACCTCAAAAGGCACAATGACGGATGGTTTCTTTTTCAGCTCCTCACATTTCCTCTTCTTACAGATCTGATGGCTGTTCTTTCTGTTCTTGCAGTAAGTACATTCACCGCAGTTGGTTTTCTGCTGGCAGGGTTCACAGACCCCACATCGCTTTCGTTTCTTCTTTTCCAAAGTAGGTAGCAAAGTTGTGTAGGAAGAAGAGGAGGTACTGGAGAGTGACACTGGCATTGATACCACTGTGGTGTTGACAACATCAACCATGCTGGTCATACTGACCCCGGAGGTGTCTCTTTCTGATTGGCTGGGGCTAGCCTGGGAGAGTTGGGCAATACCCAGTGAATTGTGGTAGAATCCTCTCTCAGGGGCTAATGTGAACCCCTGAGTATTTGCTGGCAAAAAGCTTATCTGAACCTGCTTCTCATTTTCCACATTGCTTATAGTCATTACTGGAGGTACCAAACTTATCTCTGAGTTTGATGATGATTGAGGAGTGTGTCCTGAGCCCAAAGGCAAAATATGCATAGCACCCTGGAGCTCAAGCCCATATGAGACAGTGCTCTGGCACTCAAGCCATTTGGGAGGAGCATTATAGGTAGCAACTGTGATTGGAGGAACAGGAAGGAAGATAGGCAGGTCTGGGACAGCACCCCTACCCGCACCAATGGTTTCATGTTGGTCTAAGATAGTACCAAAGATCTCTCCTTGTACTGGAATAGCACCAGGAATCTCTGGTGGGTCTGGGTTCTCACCCAGAGCCTCACCACGAACTAGGTTAGCACCAGGAAATTCCCATTGATGTGGGATAGCACCAAAGGCCTGCCCTAGGACAGAGGTGTTATCAGGAACTTCCTGTTGATCTGCCGTAGGTTTGAAGGCCTCTTGATGATCTGGTTTAGCACCAAGGATTTCTTGTTGTGAGCCTGTTAAGAAGAATTTCATTACAGAGGTAGGATATGTAGATCCACCAATAGATAAGCAGTTTCTAGGGTTCAATTCAGGTATAACCTTATTAAAGCTGGAGGTGGGACAGCAATCATACTCACTTTTGATGGGATCCAGGTAAGAATCAGACAACTTAAGAGATTCTACTCGTGAACCCAAGTCTTCTAACTGAATGCTGGTGTTTCTTTGAGAGGTAACTTTGGGAGCTGCTCTTTGGGGTAAAGAAGCACACACAGTGTCCTGAGGAAACACTCTAGGGGGACCGCTGGTATCGTTCCACGTCTCTTCAGAAAATAGTCCTTCACAACATGTCCCTTTTAAAGGCCCAGAAAGGATCTCTGTTACAGGGCCACTGTGAAGGGGGATACTGATTTTGGAGTCTTCAACACTTTGGGACCAACATTGGGTTGCCTCTTGGCTCTCACCTTTAATTAAGGAGGCATTTTGTACACAGATTAGATTATCTATAGTTGGAGAGATTAGGGTATCTTGCATGGGGACTGAATCATTTTCTGAGTGCTTTACTCCCAGGTCAGCGAGTACCTTATAATCACAATTGTGTTGCTTTTCTAAATCCTTAGAAGGTGGAACTTTCTTGGATTTGGCTGGGACCACTGGGGGTTGGGAGAGTCGCCTGTTAAGAGAGGTGCTTCGGAGAGCCATTGTAAACCCATTGCAAGTTAAGGACTCTGGGTTCTGAAAAAGAACCTCAGTCCTATTCAAATTCATTCGTGCTGCTCCAGCTCTTGTAAGAAGGCTTCTGCCTGGAATAGGTGGCTTAGATTCTGTTTTTTTCTTAACATCTCTTTCTTGAATGAATTGCTTTAATTTTCCAGGGCTTAAAGTCTTGACTGATGCCACGTTTTTGTTGGCTGGCTTGGAAATCTTCTTTAGCTGGCTGTTTTTCTTTTTGTTTACATCTTCCTTCCTGTCTAATCTGGAAGGCCTTGCATGGCGGGATCGAGACATAGCTACAGAGTAGGAAGAAATGAAAGGGCACGGGAGACAGAGTCATTGGTCCTTCGGAAAGTCTCACTTCTGAAGAGAATCTGGATGTACTGCTGTTGAGCTCGGTCACACAAGGTTTTGGTCTGAAAAAAACAAAAAAATCACAGAAATTAGACTTTTTTTCTGTGCATTCTTCTATTTGAAATAAAATACTTTTCTTTTCTTGTTTATATTTTTGAGACAGAGTCTAACTCTGTGCCCTGAGTAGAATGCTGTGGTGTCCTAGCTCACAGTAAACTCAAACTCTTGGGCTCAGGAGATTCTCTTGCTTCTGCCTCCCAAGTACTGGGGACCACAGGCACCTCCAACAATGCCCGGCTAGTTTTTCTTAGAGATGGCGTCTCACTTTTGCTCAGGCTGGTCTCAAGAGTTCAGGCAATCCACTTGCCTCGGCCTCCCAGAGTACTGGGATTATAGGCCTGAGCCACTGCGCCCAGTCAACAATACTTACTATTAATAATTAATTAACGGCAGTGACTGTGGTTCAGTGAGTAGGATGCCAGCCTCATATACAGAGGGTGGCGGGTTCAAACCCGGCCCTGGCCAAAGTACAACAAAAAAGTAGCCGGGCGTTGTGGCATGTGCCTGTAGTCCCAGCTACTCGGGAGGCTGAGGCAAGAAAATTGCCTAAGCCCAGGAGTTGGAGGTTGCTGTGAGCTGTGTGACGCCAAGGTACTCTACCAAGGGTGACAAAGTGAGACTCTGTCTCTACAAAATAATAATAATAATTAAAAATAGGGAACTGAGAATGTTTACTGCAGCAAAAAAATATATAATAGGCCTCAAAACTACTAAAGTATCCCTTAAACCTTGGATTCATTATATTGCTCCTCTAATTACTATAACAAAAGATTAAGTTGATAAAGTTCTTCAAGTAAGGTAAGAATGGTGGTTTCTCTACATTAGAAACCAAATCTGTTGTAGTTATATACATATTTAAAGCTTAAATCTCTATCTTTTTTTGCTTGTTGTTGAGATAGAGCCTAACTCTGTTGCCCTGGGTAGAGTGCCATGGCTTCATAGCTCACAGCAACCTCAAACTCTTGGGGCACAAGCAATCCTCTTGCCTCAGACTTCCAAGTAGCTGAGACTACAGGTGCCACCCACCTCAACGCCCGGCTAGGGTTTTTTTTTCCTCCCCTATTTTAGGTAGAGCTGGGCTCTCACTCTTGCTCAAGCTGGTCTTTTTTTTGGGAGACAGAGTTTCACTTTGTCACCCTTGGTAGAGTGCCATGGCATTACAGCTCACAGAAACCTCCAAATCCTGGGCTTAGGCAATTCTCTTGCTTCAGCCTCCCAAGTAGCTGGAACTATAGGTGCCTGCCAGAACGCCTGGTTATTTTTGGTTGCAGTTTGGCTGGGGCCAGGTTCAAACCCACCACCCTCAGATATGTGGCTGGCGCCCTACCCACTGAGCCACAGGTGCTGCCCTTAAGCTGGTCTTGAACTCCTGAGCTCAAAGGATCCACCTGCCTCAGCCTCCCAGAGTGCTAGGACTGCAAGTATAAGAAGCCAGGCCTAACCCAAATTTGGAGACTTTAAAAATTATCACTCTCCTGAGCACATCCCCATATAGGCAGAAGTATCATCTGTAAAGCTAGTCAAGCCAGAGCAAGAGGCTTATATAATCCAAGAAACTCTATCTACTCCCACATTCCAATTAACCCACAAACTTGAGCTTTTCACAAGCACAAAAACAGCATAAAATCTACTGACAACTAGATTACAAATAAAACTCAAAGGTCCAACAAATATATCACTTGTGGGCCTACTCTGTGTGAGGCACTGCTGACACCCAGAAATGTTTTCTTTTTCACCTGAATTAATCCAAAGCCTGCTACTTCTAAAACTCCTTTTACCAAGGGTCCCAACAGTCTTATTATAAAGAAAATTTCCTTCCTATGCAAGGAAATTGGAATTAAGAAGAAAATAAGATAATTAGAACAGTAAAGCATATTAGGAAAACAACTATTATGTGCGACATAAGAAAAGAGAAGATGAATGAGGGTTTACCTACAGCTATCACCAACTGCCTGTGAGTCTCCTCACATTGCTTACCAGACCCAAAACTATGAGCACATAGGAAGTATAAATGAAGCTCACTATACTAATCTATCAGTAGTCTCTCTAAAAACCACAAAATTAAGAGTGTAACAACAGGCAGGTCACCTGGCCCACACCTGTAATTCTAGGATTCTGGGAGGCCAAGATAGGAGGATCTCTTAAGCTCAGTAATTTGAGACCAGGCAGAAAGAGCAAGACCCTACCTCTATTTAATTAGTAAGAATAATAAGAAGAAAAGAGTATGACAACAGAATAGTTGAGACTAGTTGACAGGTTGTCGAATTTGTGAGAAAGCATGGTGTAGAATGATCACAAAGTGATCAGCAGTTGTGACAAAATGAGAAAAAATGGGGCAATGTGAGTTTTTTCTTTTTCAAATTTTCTTTTTGGGGGAGACAGAGCCTCAAGCTGTCACCCTGGGTAGAGTGCTGTAGCATCACAGCTCACAGCAACCTCTAACTCCTGGCCTCATGCGGGGCTCATGCGAGTCTCCTGCCTCCACCTCCCAAGTAGCTGGGACTACAGGTGCCCATCACAATGCCCGGCTATTTGGTTGCAGCTGTCATTGTTGTTTGATGGGCCCAGGCTGGATTAGAACCCGCCAGCTCAGGCGTATGTGGCTGGCATCTTAGCCACTTGAGCCACAGACGCCAAGCCCAGAATCTCACTTTGTCACTCCCTGGTAGGGTGCTATGGCATCATAACTCACGGCAACCTCAAACTCTTGGGCTCAAGCAATTCTCTTGCCTCAGCCTCCCAAGTAGCTAGGACTATAGACACACAACATAATGCCCGGCTTTTTTTTTTGTTGTTGTTGCAGTTTTTGGCTTAAACTCACCACAGCTGGTATACAGGGCTGGCACCCTACTCCTTGAGCCACAGGTGCCGCCCAATGTCCAGCTATTTTCAGAGACAAGGTCTCACTCTGGCTCAGGCTGGTGTGGAACCTGTGAGCGCAGGCAATCCATCTGCCTCAGCCTCCCTGGGGGCTAAGATTACAGGGGTGAGCCACCATGTCCGGCTTTGATGTGACGTTTTTCAAAAAGCTGTATTTATTCATTTTAAACAATCTTTTATTTTTTTCTTTTTTCTTTTTTCTTTTTTTTTTTTTTTTTTTTTTGAGAC